GGTCGCAAGCGTCTCAGGGTCGCTAGGCGTTCTTGGGTCCGCGAGGCGTTTCTGGGTCGCGAGGCGTTCAGGGTCGCGAGGCTTTCTGGGTCGCGAGCTTGCGTCCTTTTTCATCTTCACCATCATCCATCATCATCCAGCACCATCACCATCCATCTACTATCATCATTCATCATCAGTCATCACCACCATCATCCACCATCTTCATCATCAGCACCTGAATCCCTTGCTCCCGCCTTCCTTTCCAGTTGGACTTCTGTCAGCTTGATTGACAGGTGAAGATTAGCTCGCTTCTTTCCTCCCACATTACTCCCCTCCTCTTCAGAACAGCAGATCATTAAAGGAGGTGCGTCGGCCAAATCAGGGTGGGCGAGGCAATTCAGGGTCGCGAGGCATTTCTGGGTCGCGAGACATTCTGGGGTCGCAAGCCATTCTGGGTTGGTCGAGGCGTTCTGGTGTCGAGGCGTTCTGCGGTGGCGAGGCGTTCAGGGTCCGCGAGGCCGTCTGGGTCGCGAAGGCTTCAGGGTCGCGAGGCGTTCTGGGTCGCCGAGGCATTCAGGGTCGCTGAGCGTTCTGGGTTTCGAGGCGTTCCTGCGGTCCGAGAATTCAGGGTCCTCGAGGCGTTCAATGGGTCGCGAGGCGTTCTGGGTCGCGAGGCGTCCTTTTTCCATCTTCACCATCATCATCATCATCAGCACATCACATCATTCACTATCATCATCATCATCACCACCATCACCACCATCTTCATCATGCATCTTCATCATCATCTACCGTGAATCTTGCTCCCGCCTCTTTCACCAGTGACTTCTCCTGTCGAGTTGATGACAGGTGAAGATTAGCTCGCTCTTCTTCCCACATATACTCCCCCCCCCTCCTCTTCAGAACAGCAGATATGTAAAGGAGGATGCGTCGGGCCCATCTGGGTCGCGAGACATTCTGGGTCGCGAGGCATTGTCTGGGATCGCGAGACATTCTGGTCGCAAGGCATTCTGGGTTGCGAGGCGTTCTGGGTTCGCTGGAGGACTCTTCAGGGTCTCGAGGCTTTGGGTCGGCGAGGCGTTCTGGGTGCGCGAGGTCGTTCTGGGTGGCGAGGCGTTCCTGGGGTCTGCGAGTGTCGTTCAGGGTCGCGAGGCGGTTCTGGGTTGCGAGGCGTTTCTGGGTCGCTGAGACTTTCAGGGTCTCGAGGTCGTTCTGGGTCGCTGAGGCGTTCTGGGTGCGAGGCGTTCTGGGTCGCGAGGCGTTCAGGGTCCGCCGAGCGTTACTGGGTGGCGAGGCGGTTCTGGGTGGGAGGCGTTCAGCGGTCGCGAGGCGTTCAGTTCAGCGGGTCTCGAGGCGTTCTGGGTGGCGAGGCTTCATGGGTGGACGAGGGCGTTCAGGTGGTCGCAGTGAGGCGTTCAGTGGTCTCTCAGTAGAGATGATGTGCCTGATGGCCTCTTCTTTTTGGGCCAGATGGGCGCCAGAAGGATTGATGAGGAGTGACATCATGAAGCGGAGCGCTCCAGTCATTTTGATAATCTCTGGAGAGACATTCAAGTGCATCGTCAACCTTTCAGTGCTCACACAGAAACCCTGCTGGAGTGAGCTACCTTCATCATTACATCAATCATCATCATCATCAATGTCTTCATCTTCAACATCAGGAATCTAACGTCTTCATCTTCATCATCTCTCTCCATCAACGTCATCTACTTCTTCATCATCTTTTCCTCTTCACCATCATCATCATCAGCACCATCATCATCATCATCATCATCATAAATCATCACCATCCACCACCATCTTCATCATCATCTGGTCATCATCATCACCGGTGAATCCCTTGCTCCCGCCTCTTTCCCCAGCTGATTTCCTGTCAGTGATTTGACAGGTGAAGGATTTAGCCGCCGTCTTCCCTCCCACATTACTCCCCCCTCCTTTTCAGAACAGCAGATATTAAAGGAGGTCGCCCGGCCACTCACATGCCCTCCCCCCCCCCCCCCCCCCAGAGGAGCAGCACCATTAAAGGGCAGATTTAAGCTCATTTGAAGGTAACGGAGCTTCGAGGAGCCTTTAATGTGTTTAATGGGGACGAAGCACATCAAAGGCAGAGGACGTCCTGTTGCCGGGCGGATTAGAGCAGGTGGCCCCCAGACTGTCCCCCAGCAGCCCCACTGTGCAGATTAATGCTCCTGCAGGAGGACCCCCCCTCTCTTATCACTGGGGGGGAAGGTGCCTCGCTCCCACTCTTTATTCTATCTGCTGCTTTATATTCAATGTTCCTCAGGCTGACCTCAGATCTGTTCACCTTTCAACACTTTATATCTGAGCCTTTCTTCGAGCTGAGAGAGAGAGAGACACTTTAATAACACAGAGAGAGAGACAGAGAGAGAGAGAGAGACAGAGAGAGAGAGAGAGAGACACTAATAACAGAGAGAGAGAGAGACTTTAATAACAGAGAGAGAGGGAGAGAGAGACTTTAATAACAGAGAGAGAGAGAGGGATAGAGAGAGACAGAGAGAGAGAGAGAGACAGAGAGAGAGACAGAGAGAGAGAGAGACTTTAATAACAGAGAGAGAGGGAGAGAGAGACTTTAATAACAGAGAGAGAGACAGAGAGAGACTTTAATAACACAGAGAGAGAGAGGGAGAGAGAGAGACAGAGAGAGAGAGAGAGAGAGAGAGAGAGACAGAGACAGAGAGAGAAACAGAGCTATCAATGCCAACCGTTCCCTCTGATCCACCCCTGGTGCCGGCAACAATTGGGAAGGCATAATTGATGTCAGTCTGATCGCTGCTTGAACTGCAGTCCTAAAAAACCTTCCCCGGAAAGTAGTTCGTTTTCAATTTGTGGAAGATAAAAACGTTTTCTAAAATCAATTTCTCATTCAATCCACTACAGATTAATTCCACTGTGTTGGATTTTGAGTGTTTTGTTTACTGCTGTACTGAAATTAGTTGCCATCTATCTATCTATCTATCTATCTATCTATCTATCTATCTATCTATCTATCTATCTATCTATCTATCTATCTATCTAACTATCTATCTATCTATCTATCTTATCTTTGAAAAAAACGATACGATATTTGGTCTACCTCAATACAATTTGATTCAACTCACAAAAAAGCAACTTAAATATAATTTGACACTTATATTACTCTGCTCTGTATAAATGAATTCATTTCATAGACCTGCCACATTTCCCCTGTTTAAGCATGGTTTGGATAAATGGTGGCAAAACCATTAGATTTTTGGAATCCGCTATTTTAAGTAGGAATATATGTTTTGATTTTGCATCGATGATATTGTATTTTTGAGCTGACATACATAATGATCTATATCAATGTATCGTTATCTCACCATCCATCTTTCCATTTATCTACAAACAAGATTACATGCATTTTCACAAATGCCAAGGAGGAGAAACACAATCTACATTCTCTTGCCTTGCCATCACCTCCATGACTTCCATGATCAATAGGCAATGAAGGCAACTTACCTAGAGCCTTCCTCCCACTATCAACAAGCCACTCTGTACATGGCTGCTATTGACAACAGCATCCCATTGAATTATTCAAACACATGTGGAGGAGATTTTCAGGGGAGGATTTACACATCAAGCAACACTTTAAATCATCTGACGGAGGTGTGGAAAACACTAAGCCGAGTGATAAGGGTGCAGCTGTAGACAAGAGTCCTGACTCCTCTGGTGAAGGCTCCTCTGCTGTGGGTTTAATGTTTTATCAGGTCCGCAGATAGACGTGCAGACAGAGGGGACAGACTATCAGCAGTGGCTGCTCACACAGGAATAGTATTCAGATTAATTTCAAGTGGATTATGACATTTAACACAGTCTCCTTTGATGATAATAGTTCATAAAGGGATCAGTCAAAGCGGTTATAAACCCATTACTCACTTCATCCTCTTCTGTCGCTTAATCTGTCGGTGGACTTTCATGTGCTGGGGGCCAGGGGGTAAGGTTCACTGACGAATGTGCTTTGGGATGCATTTGCATTTTCCTCTCATGCATTTCCCCCTGACCTGTGATCATCAATAACTACCTGGCGTTACCTTATTATGCACATTATACGCCAGCCACCGTTTCCGAAATGAAATTACAGAAAGATGAAGTTGTTGTTGTCGAGTGCAGAGTGAGCAGAACTCCAGGAAAATATCTGTGGGAGACACAGGCCGGATGAAGTGGGTAGGTAAACATGGCCGACAGATAAGACACATTGGTATTCAGCTGCATCCAGCCACACTGACTGATAATACCCTCTGTCGGCTGCAGGGTCAGAGGTCGGAGGTTGATTGGCAACGGGCTGACACAGGGAAATAGACTGTGCTGACTGGGGTGTAATGGGGTTGAAGCTCACAGACGTATCAGCTTGGCTGGCATGTTAGCGATGCCACGGTCTCACTCTTAGCCTCGCGCTCCTGGATGCTTACAGGTTGTTCACAAATCTTTTAGCCCCTTTGTCAAACACCTCTAGGCTCTATCACACGGCAACACTGCAGCACACAGGCCCCTGCTTGCCTGCTATCTGAATTGCTGGATTGTTGTCCTCGCACACAGAGAAGTGCTCTGCCTCATTCGCTTTCAGCTGTTCCTCCAAGCTCTTTATACCTCCCAGCAGGGTTCGAGTTATAAACTGAGCTCTATGGGGGTCTTTAAAACGCGTGCACGCGCACACACACACACACGCGCNATCTAGAATAACCTCTAAATCACCTTCAATATTCTACACAGTGCTGTGCTTAGAGCCCATAGGCCTGAGGCTTTCAGAGGAGGAGGGAACACATTAGCGGACACACACACACACACACACACACACACACACACACACACACACACACACACACACACACACACACACACACACACACACACACACACACACACACACACACACACACACACACACACACACACACACACACACTTTTAAGAACAGTATCGAAAAAGAATCGCAATTCTTGACTTGGTATCGAAACCAAAATGTTGGTATCGTGACAACACTAGGATGGAGTGTGTGACGCAGTGTGTGATGCAGTGTATGATGGAGGAGTGATGGAGGAGTGTGTGATGGAGTGTGTGTGACGTAGTGTGTGACGCAGTGTGTGACGGAGTGTGTGACGCAGTGTGTGGCGCAGTGTGTTACCTTGAAGGATGTTCCTCTGCTCCAGCTCGTCGGCTGACGGCCTCTGACTCAGCCGCCTGCAGGAAGGAAACACGGTTGAGTCAGCGCTTTAGAAAGGCTCGTATTGATCCTCAGAGGAGCAGCATTGATCCAGAGCTGCACAACAAACGGTCTGAGGGCGGAGAGCCTCTCAGGCACATGATTTACAGCATGAAGAGCGGGGGGGAATCTGTCACTCTCAGGGGTGGAAGGTACCACTGAAGTACTATAAGTGTGTATTCGAGGTAGTTGGACTTCACTTTAATATTTTATTTTCATGACACTTTATACTAATTTAGACGTTTGAATAAAAAGAGCTGCTTCACTTGAACAATTCATGAAAAATATGACATTTTTATTTATTTAACTTAGTTTTTGTAATGTTTTTATATATATTTTTAATAATACGTTTCTTTTAAATGTAATTATAATTACTTGTTTTCACTTAAAGGAAGGGTAGGTAAGAAAGGAGAAACCAGCTCGAGTGCGCTAGAAGCAGGAGCCCCTCCTCCAACACACACGAACGCACACATGACCAATGAGGGCACGAGATAAGTTTGTGCACAGATGGAAGGCTGACAGGCAGGTAGGCCATCCAGTTATTTTAGCCGGGCCGGCTCAGATGATTGGTTGTGCTTTTTACAGCGCTACGGCTTCCACTGATGAGAAATTTTAATGTATTTATTGTCAAAGCATTTCATATATTCATTGCTATCGGGATGTTAAGAGCATTCCATGGAATATAACAAAAAGTGTTTCTGAAGTGAATTATCTACCCTACCTTTAACAGACATTTAACAGAGTGTATTTTTAAAGTGCACTTTTACTCCAGTAAACGATCTGAATACTTCCCCCGACACTAATCATTGTCTAAATAATGGCTGACTTCTCACATCCTCTTAAACTATAAGTATGTTCAGTATATATATGATTTATTTACCGTGTGAGTGCGGATCCGATCTTGTTCCTGACGGCCATCCACTGTTCTCGGTTCTGCCAGCTTATGTCCTGGTTCTCCTGGTTCTCCTGGTTCTCCTCTCGCTCCTGCCGCTCCAGCCTCAGCGCCAACGTGTCCTTCCTCTTCACACGACTCGCCAGACCACCTGGATCACACAACACACAGTTTATATACTACGAGTTATGTATACTACATAGTACTATACATTTTACAATCCAAACATTAAACGATAAGTTAAAATCCTGCAAATTATCTTAAAAGAGTGTAAGAGACCATGATCTGGCATTATTATTAACAGTTATATATAAAAAAGACAACTACAAAAAGCTGCTTTGGGAAATGAGGCTTCCATTGCTAGGATCGCACATCTTAAATCAAGCATCTCTTAAAAAAAGAACGGCAGTGTTCATGATAAAAGTATAGACTTAAACGTTTGAACAAAATGTAAAAATAAAGATGCTCTTAAAGGTCCCATGTCATGGCCATTTCTACTGATCATAATTCCATTGTTGAGGTCTACTAGAATAGATTTACATTGTGCAATTTTCCAAACTCACATTGGTTTCTCATACGGCGTCTCTGTATAGTATGTGTATTCACTCTCTATCCTAAACGGTTTGTTGGAGCTCCTACCCCCCCCTCCCTCCCTATGAGCCCAGTGGCCGTCTGCGAGACAGCGAGACAACGCGAAACCCAGCCCGAAACACACACACACACGCAGCGTGGCTTGGAGTTTGCATGTGTGTTCAGACTGAATTCCGCGGTGTCTCGCTGTCTCGCCGACCCCACACCAGTGAGCCAGCTCACAGTGTCCCACTCCTCGCAGCAGCGAGCCTTCGCAACGTCCCGCCGAGTGTGTGTGTGTGATTGGTCCAAACGTAACGGCTCCGCGGACTTATAACTATAATGTAATATAGCTGTTATAGTTACGTTACGTCACTATACAAGAAGTAAACGATAAGAGAAATCTCCAACGAGGCGTTCTGGGGCAGCATAGACAGGTCTTCTCTGTGTTAGAGTTTTACTCGCTACAGGGTGTACTTTGAGGGTTTGTGACTCGGCAGACCGTTTACATGCAGAAAAACCTTCATAACACACAAGGGGACGGGTAATAACCAGAAAAGTATGACATGTCAAATGAGAGGTTAAGAGACCCTCATGAATCTACCATCAATTTCTAAGAGATTTAACACACTTTTAAGTCTTGTTGTTATGCTTTCAGAAAAAGAACCCAAAACAATTAGTATTTAAAAAAAATGTGTATAAAATCTTATCCTCAAATTGTTAGGGCCAAACCCTCAAAGACGATTCATCTCCTCTTAGTAAGACAAAACAAAGCAGTGAGAGATCTTCAGATTTCACAAGCTGAAGGTTTATAAAAACTATACGATATTATAAAACTACTAAATGGTTGCATCAAACTTTTTAATTCGCACATTCAGCGACTGAAAATACTTATTATGATCAGTTTTAAAGAACATAAAAAAGCAGTATATTTAAAGTACTGCTTTTTCAACTTCTTAAAAAGTCATTTCCAAGCAGTTTTCACACTCGGGTTGATCTCCTATACTAGTATAAGAAAGTCAAACGTACTTGGAGGCCCTTCCTCATCGTCGTCCTCCTCTTCGTCGTCGTCTTCTCGGTACAGGATTGGGCCGTCGGAGTCGCTCTCCTCCTCGCTGTCGGGGCCCCCCCCCTCCGGGATCACGCTGACCCTCAGGTCCACCAAGCCCCTCCGGCTGCGAGGCTCCAGCTCCGGCTGGCGGGGGGGCCGGGTGGGGTGCAGCTTCCTCATCTCCTCCTCCAGGTCGAAGTCATCGTCGTCTTGCCTGTGAACAACCACAGATTTATTATTAGTCTTTAAAAAAACAAGGAAAATGTATAAAAACTCCCAAAAATATGATTTATTCCAGATTTATCGATGTAGGAAGCAAGGCTCAAAGATGACTGGCTGTAAGGCTACAACAAACAATTATTTTAAATACTTATTATTCGTATACATTTGTTTTCTTTTGAATAATTAATTAAGTCATCGTCGTCAGATTTATTATTCATTAATATCAAGGATATATATCAATATTCCAATTACTTGTATACATTCTGCATTATTTCTATTATATTATATTTTATTTACTTGCACTATTATCTGTTTATTTGTGCTGCACTGTTGGAGGAGCCTGTGACCTCAGATTTTCATTGTCATAACTACACTGTAGCTATGCACACAATAAAAGCCTTGAATCCTTGAACATGCATAAAAACTCCCAAAACTATGATTTACGGCCCCTACACAGGGCGGCGTGCGTTGCCGCTTCAACCCTTCTGCCCATTCACTTTGAATGGGGTGACGTCACGATTGGCCGAACTGCATTGTGGGAGCAAAGCGAAGCTTCTCTCGCGGTGCTCGCTGCAAAAGTAGAGCAATGTTCTACTTTTGCCGCAATCAAACCGCGTGCTTGTTTGTCTGCGGCGGTAGATTCATGTGATTGGTTAGCAATAGAGAAAAAAATCGCAATAATAAAAAAGAGTTGCAAAAAAGATAAGAGATTCAGTTAGAACCTAGAGTATAATGAAAGAGTCTTAAATGTTCAGGGACGGATGGAAGAAAAGACAGAGATGGATGTATTGCGGAAATGTGCCAAGTGAAAGTAGAATTGGTGAATTGAGAGGTACGCCTTTCTTGTTACGGGGTACCTTCAGATCTACACGACGACACGTAACGTACACACAACAACTTTCCTACCAATTGTTACCGTAGACAATAGTGGGAGTGACGAGTTCTAGTGTCATTGTGATTGCAATAAGAAAAGAGGGAAATAGATATCATAACCTTAAACAACAAAACAAGTAACCGTGATGAGTACGTTAGCTGCTGCCGTAGAAGTCAGAGCGACATGTAAATATAAATTTGACACAATAAGAAAGATTGATAAAAATTATGCGCAAAAGAAAAAGATGGTCGGCTCGTGAGCGTGAACACGTCAAGAAAGTAGATTACGGTCGGGGGCGATCCGCGAGCGGGGGCGAGCGGTTCTCTACTGGGGGCATGTTCGATACCCTGGGGAGCCGGGCTATTCGGAGCTGAGGCAGCGCTTGGCGAGACGTGGGTGGCGGGGAACGACAGTATCTCCCTTGGTTCTCCCTCTCCAGAGTTTGTGAGGGAGTCGGTGAGACTTTTGCGGAACGGAAAGGCGGGGGAGGGTGTAGGGAGGTAGGGGGTCACAAGTAAGGAAGTCGTGGGGGAGGTGGGGCAAGGGTGCACGCTACTGGGTCGGTGGGCTCGGGGCGGCGAGGTCGGTGCAAGGGGAGCGTTAGGGAATAGGTCTCTGCGACTGTGGGGCCGGAACAGAGTCGGGGGCTCCGCAAGGTGCTCCCGGGGTAAGGGACGCAACTCAGAGGGGGACTGAGAAGAGCCACCTCAGGGGTGGTGCCTTGAGTGAAGGGGTAAGGGTAGCCGGGGGAGCGCATTCACATTGTGTTGACATCGAAATTCTAATATTTGTTAGTCTTTGTTCCAAATAATGGTCCGATCCAAATGTGCATACTCATAACTGAACCACACACCGTATTTTGTTCTAACTTTTGTGTAACATCTCTTGATCTTTATATTTTTTATGTTTAATTGTTCATAAATGAACGTCACTTACCTTATCTTCTATTTATTACTTGTTTTTTAGCCGTCATAGTTTTTATAAAACATATAAGTTAGTGATAATAATAATCTCGTGTATCTTATCAATGAGGGGTGAGTATAATTTTTCGTCGTATTTATTAAGTCTGTTTACCTATCCTGTTTTCTTATTTACATTGCTGCTCTGTTATTTTGTAGATATCGGTGCTGCTTCTTATTGTGTCCTCCTACAAACAGTAATCTCGGGCACAATACGAACGTACCCCAAGGGAACGGATATCAGAAAGGATATCCAACACACGTACGTTACAGACCGTTCGAATTTAGGACTGATTTACGTCTATACAGCAAAATTCTACAACTACCATTTCAAGAATTGGGTGGTTTAAATCTAGACGAAAACACACTGGAACTTAAGGTTTCTCTCAAAAAGAGGCCGAAGGTTGCTTGTTAGCGGTTGTTTTGCGGACAATTCAATAAAAATGTCGGGTTGTTACCTGATCACGATAAAATAACGAAGTATTTTCGATTTTCATAATTCCCAAAGTTTAACCTTTATTTCTTCTGTAACTTACCGTAAGGGACAACAGAACTGTACGAGAAAAAAAAATTGGTAAAATCCTAAAACTGGGTTTATTTTACAATAGTTGTTTCTTTTTTACAATATTATTATCATAATTTAATTAACAAACTCGGAATCGGTCAGTAGCAATCGGAACAAGGAGTATCAGATTCCGAGGATGTGGCGCGACACGGCAACAGCGTAACGCGCCGCCCCCCCCTCCCCAC